ACGCTAACCAGGGCCAATGATTGTAGGTCCCGTATATGATGATAGCGTACGTCAATATGCTTTGACCATTTCATTCCTTCTGTTGATGCCAATGCCTGGGCGCCTTCACTGTCTGTGTGGAGACAGATAGGTGGTGAGTCTGGGCCGGCCACTTGCATTTCAATACACACACAGCGAAGCCATATGGCTTCTTTTGCTGCCTCTGATATCGCCATGTACTCAGCTTCATTGCTGCTTGTTGCAACGCATGTCTGGCATTTTGACTGCCAGGAAATAGGGGATCCTTCATACAGGAAGATATACCCCCCGATTGACTTCCGGCCTGAGTTAGGACCAGCCCAATTAGAGTCCAAGTAACCGGTTGGAAAACAAGCGATTGTTGATGAAGTTGTTGAGGCAGGACCATAGGTGAGGCCATCGTCTATTGTCCCTTTGAGGTAACGTATAACATGCAAAAGGCCGTTCCAGCATTTCTTTGTTGGTCTGGTGTTGAAGCGAGCTAGCGTTCCTGCTGCTTCAGCTATGTCAGGGCGAGTTTTAACTGCAAGCCATTGCAGTTTACCAGTTCCCCTTTGGTATTCAAAGATGAGTGTGAATCCGTCAGGTTCATCGTCGACCTCAAATCCTTGGGGTAGAGGTGTCGTTTGGGGATTGGCATTTTCAAGCCCGAATGATTGGACAAGATCCTTAATATATTCACGTTGGAGTAAGTTGATTTGTCCATTGACAAATTCCACTTCCATACCAAGGTAGTACATCATATTGCTAACATCTTTGATTTCCCATTCCTTGGATAGAGCGTCCTTCGTCCATTCAATATCTTCATCACATTCAGCGATGAGTTGAAAGTCGTCGACATGGGTGGTGATATATAGATGTTGACATTCTTGATGTATGAATAGGCCTGAGTCATACGAGCATGTACAGAAGCCTAGGCGATGAAGTGCGGCGGTAAGAGTGTCATACCAGATACATGCAGCCAGAACTAGGCTATATATCAATTTCTTCAATCGCCATATTAATCCTTCGCCTTGCTCAAACCCATATGGTTGTCGCATATAGATTTCATCTATCAAATCGCCATTCAAAAAGGCTACAGCAACATCGAGTTTTCGCAGCTTCCATCCAAATGCAGTGGCTAAAGCGAAAAGTAGACGGGTAACTGCTGCAGATACCACTGGGGCATATTTGCAGTAGTCATACTGCATATCATCCTTCTCAACCAGGTTGCCAAGTATTACCCACTGGGCTTTGTAAGACTGTTCATCATCAGGTGGGTAATCCTCCTTGCTGTCATACACCCATTTGCCTGGAAAAATTCGCTTTCCTTTTGGAATGTCACTAATTTGTACCAGCTTGAATATCTCTTTGCTCTGCAGTTTAGAGAATTCACGCTGCATGGCCTTGAGCCATCTATTCTTATCCTTTCGCTCCAAAGCGCGTCTCATAGTTCTTGGAATATCATGAGAAGTGGCGCCGGCAACATAGGCTACAAAGCCTTTTGCAGGGCGTATCATGGCATCATCAGATGGGTTGTCGTCTGAATAAGGTTGGATGGGAGGAATCTTCCCATTGGTCAAGGAAGTGAGTGTGGTAGGTTGGGGAGTGAATGTTGGATCAGTAAACGAGATATCCCCTTCATCTACTCGTCCGTTTGTAACATGAATTATTGAGTCCTTGTCAACACTCCATACTAACTGATTTGTACTTGATAGGTTGGTCAAAAGTAGAC